TTTTAATTTGGACCTATTTTGTTCCTTCCTTTCTATTACAAACTATTAATTGAGTTTTGTGGGGATTAAGTGCGATTCTCTATTTGTGTGTTTGTTTGTGTGTGTGTTTCTTATAGCAAAGCCACATCGGGCTATCTGCTGTGTCCACCGACTTGAATCGAACCCCCTAATTTTAGCGTTGTAAGTCCGTAGACTTACTGCTGTCCCAGCGGGGGACGTTTCTCCATTTGAAGCACTAGGTTTATATTTGGTTCAGCTGTTTGAATTGGGCTTTTTGACGAGCATCATACTGCGATGTCATCTGTAAACTGGGAGGACTGTGTATGGGAGTTTATATCGTTAAGCAGGTTAAGATAATTGACATGTAGGATATAGAGAAGAGAGGCTGGTGACTGAGCCTTGAGGCACTCCGACAACTGGCAAAATGAATCAATAGTGTTGCCTTTAATTTTAAGGGATTGGTTGTTCAGAAAATAGAAAATATATTGCAAGTATATTTTAGGAATTTTGGATTTTGCTAGATTATATCTGATTCTTTCGTGCTAAACTGAGCCAAAGGCTTTTTTGGACGTCAAAAAAGGCAGCTACTGTACAAAAGTTAACATTCTTTTCCCAACTTCAGACCTCTCAATCTCTTCATTTTCTTCATCATTTACAATAGCATAATATAAAACTAATTTTCCTCTTGCTTCAGCATATGGCTAATCTCTACCCTTATTCTCTTTTTGCATCTTTTAATACTTTCCATCCGTTATGTGCTATCCATTTCAGAATTTTCCTTATTTCTGGGTTACTTACATTATTATATGATCTTCATGTGTATACGTCTTATCTTTCTTTCATTAACTGTCCTTCTTCCAAAAAGATATCTTCTCTACCTATTCCTGTAGCATAATTCCCATTATTCTTAATCTTTCCTCTTTCTGTCTTTGTAATTTGTTTTCAATTCTAGTATCAATTATTCCATCCTTTCATTAATATAAACAATACCTACTTTCCATTCTGATGTCTCAAAATACAACCTTTCTCTTTTTTCTCTTTCTAGTTTAGCAATTTTTCTTAGCTCATTCGTAATATTTCTTATTTCCTTTGCATAATATTAATCAAAGCAAGTATTCCATTCCTTTAATATTCCTCTATATTTCAATAAATCTTCTTTTTCTTTCCAGTTCTGAAATTTCATTACTGTTAACCTAGTTCTCCCTCCTACGTTTTCCCAGTCATAGTGCTCTTCAGGTCTTTATTACTTTCTCTCCAAACTTTACTTTACAAAATGCTATACGTTTTTTTTTAGTTTCTTCACATGATTCTTTTCCTTCTTCTTCTAAACCTTTTATAATAATATCATTTTCTCCGCTTCTATTCTCTAAATCTTCTACCTTCGCTTGCAGTTTTGGAATATCATTTTTTCCTTCCCCACCTTGTAGTTCTAGTTTGTTTTATTTTCTTCTTTACACCGGTGAATACTTTTCTCTATCTTAAGAAATTTGTCTCGAAATTCTAAAATTAAGTTTCTAGACTGTTGCAAATGTCCCTTCATTTCTGTATTCTCTTTTCTAATTTTTCGAGTTACAAACCATATTTCTTTAATCATTTAAGTTATACCTTCTTCTTCTTCTTCTCTTTCTTATATTTTTCCGTCCATTTCTTGTTTCTTTCGGTTAGTAATTTTTGACCGTGGAAATGTTTTCAATACTTAGAATGGATCCAGTTTAAATGTATCTTTTTTTTCCTGTTAACCACAAACTATACTAACGGATTCATACTGTTCGACTTCCTCTTATATTACGATCGATAGATCCTCTTCTTTGTCTTCTTACACAGACTTTCCTTTAGTACTCATACTAATGTTTTATTGAGATTAAGTAAGTTAAGAATATATTACTTTATTATCTAATTTTCCTTTGCTCTTGGCTCAAAATTTCACTTTAAGTCAAAACTTTTTCTAGATCTCACGTTACGATGTACTTACCACAATTTGTCGTCGTACAAAACCTACAAATTTGGAATTTTAGTTTTGACACTGTACAAACATGACACTAACAACGATAATCTGTTTTAAGGTCAGGAGATATAAAACAAAACCCGTCCGGAATTAAAATTTTAACCTGAATAGCTCCTTAAGCTCACGTTGGCTGAACGTTCAAGTCATAGGACCTTAGGATTCAGGTATAGCCGTTTCTAGTTTTGAACTACTGACCAGTGGGAAGGTAGCCAGCTAGCAGCACTCATCACTAAAAGGGTTTTGTTCGGTTCTTTGAAACGAACAATAGGATTAAATGTCACATTTATTCAGCTCCTACAGCTGAAGTGGCATTAAGGATTCAATGTCATCACGTCTTGAACATCGGACCCTATGATACGCTCTTCGACACGTTAACCAATAGGCAATACCTGCTTCAAACCAATTTATGAGCAAGGTTTGTAAAACCCAACCAGTTTCAGGAAAGAGAATATAAAACCCAACATGCTTAAGAACAAGATATATAAAATGTAACCTAATCTAATGGAGTAGTTTTCATACGAGGAGAGGTTGAAATCTCTCAATTTGTTTTTTTATTGAAAAAAGAAGAGTTAGGGTGATCTGATTGAGTTGTTTAAGATTGTAAAGGGAATTGATAGTGTTGATGTACCATCGTTTTTCATACTTAACATTGAGAATAGTAGCACAAGGGGACACAATTATAAATTTTGGCAAGGTAGGAGT